CTTCTGCAATGCTTTAATGGCGTCCAATTGGAGCAACAAGTTATCAGACAAGGAAGGTATCACATGCTGTTATCTTACGTAGCAATTTTCCCCCTGCAACTCCAGTGCAAATACCCTGTGAAATACAGATTCTCAAACTGTCACCCTCATTTTTTAATTATCTGCATTTATAGATTGTGGTCTATAAACAGAGCAAGAGAGAGGGGGACAAAGGGGGGTGAAAAGGAAAGAAAGAGAGGAAAGTGTGTTTGTGTGTGTGTGTGTGTGAGGATTGTCGGTGGTGCAAGGGGGTTTGGTTGAGTGCTACACCAGATGTCAAAATTACTTTTGCTATATGTCATCTAAACAGCAAACTTGCAGGGGATTTACTTGAGCTAACTTGAAGCACATAACTGCTGGAAAGTCAAAATTACAGTTAGCTTCTTGAAAATCTCAAACGGATTCGTAGACCAGCTGGGGGGAAAAATCATTCATTGCAGGAAACTGGTATGTGGTTTCCCCCCGGGGCATTAGTCTAACATATGTTACCTCAATGCAGATTCACGCAGAAAGGTGGCGGTTTGCCCCCTTTAACTAGTATCTCGGGTCACATCGATGTGCTGTGATATGGTGACTTAGCAGTACAAGTTCTGCCAGTTGTGAAACACAGCAGATAAGAAGACAAACATGAGATGGGTCAAGTCAGATTAAGTCGCTTGGAGGTTGCACCTGTGCTATCGCAACACAATGTCTGTTTTCAGTAGGGCTCAAACCAACTGGTCCAACCCACATACATACACACCCACGCACACACATACATAAACACAAACACAAACACACACACACACACACACACACACACACACACTAGTTCACATGTGTCCTAAGTGGAACAAAGCCCCATCCAGCTTGAGGACTACTGACATACCTTTACAGAATGAAATGCCCTTTTTAGCCCAAATCTTTTATGAAAAAACAAACAAACAATGGAGCAGATTTAACAGATTCTGTTCTGTGTTGGTAATTCAAATAAACAGTTATTATTTTCTCCTGGGCATTCATGTTACGCTGTCGTACTTTGATTTGAGAATATCTGCAAATGTAAGAAATTACCAGCACAAAATGCTGTAACAACAGCGTGCTGGGTGTGATGACCTTATTCTCTACAATAATGCTGCAAATGAAGCAGAGCACAAACATGCTGCAGCAGCAGTCTGACACACTAGCTTCCTTGAGCACACTAATAAGCAAAAAAACAAAAACAAACTAAACTGAACAGTAAACAAACAGAATATTTTTTTTTAAACTTTCAAATATTAGATTCAACCGTTTTCTAGCTGGTGTACGTTGAATTGTCTCCTGTGGGAAACCCAACCCTTATGGTAGCACCCAGGCCAAACCACAGCACAAATAATTATTAGCATACACAGTTTCTGACCTGGGACTGGTTCCTCAGTGAATCCAGCCTGCCATGGTACTAGCCGATAATAAATGGTTTCTTCTTCACCTGCCTGTGCCGAAGCTTCCTGTGTTGATGATATGTATGCAGCCCGGTGGGGTGGAGATGACAATGTAGGTGTGGAGGAAGTCAAATGCAGGTGTTTGTATGTGTGTATGAGTGTGTGTGTGTGTGTGTGTGTGTGCATGCTATCCCGGTTGGGTGCTGACAGACCGGCAGGTAAACAGGCAGGTTGGCCTCTCATCTCACCTGTTGGAGCAGACATTGCAGCGCCTGCAGGGCTTCTGCAGCGGAAACATGTTCTTTATGCAACGTTGGAAGGCCAACTCTCTTCATTTCTCTTCTCTTCTCTTTCTGTCTTGTTTTTTCTTTTTTGCTATCTCTTCTTTACCTTTCTCAAACGCTCTGTCTCCTTTATTTGTTCCACTCTCCTCTCCCAGGTGCATTCCGGTAAACACCCAGGAAACAAGCATAGAGGGGAAGGCGGGGAGGAAGAACGCCTCGGGGTAACAGCAGCACAGGTGGGCTGGAGGGTGGGGGGTGACGACAGTGTTTGTGTGTGTGACAGGAAGAGTTTCAGCTTCATGAGGAGGTGCTTTGGAGAGAAAGGAATGTTACACAACCAGATTATAACAGACCACCCCTATAAACTAGAGGGAAGTCAGTTTAACCTGTGTCTAACACACACACACAAACACAGCAGCACAACCATCATAAGCAAGTATAAGCTCTGATATGAAGTGACCATCTGACTGGTTAATTTTTCATGTTACATTGTCCAGAGAAAGTCAGTGAATTATTTCCTGTTACTTATGTAATGTTTTCTTTCAGTTTAAGGTCAGGCTGCTTTATTTGACCTTCACTGCCCTCACAGAGTTTTATAGAGAGCATTCTATTCAGACACAGGAAGTGGGGGACCTCAGGAAGTTGAAGTGTTAATGTAAAACGACGAAAGCCTGTAAATGTTCTTTTACAGAATGATTCATAGTTTAAATAATCAGTATCTTGTAGCTAAAGTATCTTCATAAGAAGCTTATAAGTGCTTACAGATATGTTAAAAGTTCTTTAGAAAGGATTTTTCTGTCCTAAAATGTAATGTACATTTGCACCATCACTGTAGGACTTATAGTTTTACTCTTAGTTTTACTTTTACATCATATCAAGTTTAAATAGTTGGAAATGTATCTTAACCTAAGAGGTGTATTTTTGTCCAGAATACCACTTAATGTCTCTCCAGGTGCATGGTCATTCTGATGGGGAGTGATGATGTGTCTGGTTCAAAACTACTCACAAAAGTAACGACACAACAGCCAGGTATATTTAACAATATATATTTCCATTGTCAATGTACATTCCATTTCGACATAAGCTTTCTTCACAAACAAAAAGTTGGCATCTAAATAAATACTATATAAAATAGAACTTCAAAATAAATATATCTATAAAGGGAACCTTTTATATGAGAGATTTTTTTTCTTTTTGTTATATCTAAACAAAACAAAAGCACAGATCTTGTTCTTAATCCTCAACATTGACATTGCAAAGGCATAAAAGAATGGAGTAGCATCACCCAGCTGTATGAGACTTTTCCTCTTGTATGGGTTGGAAATAAAACATTTGTGCCCACAAATGAGCGACACATTGGTGTGTGTAAAAGTCACAGCATTGTAGCTAAGGAAAAAGGGAAAAAAAGAAAGACTAAAAAAACCTTTAATCGTTGTTTTTAGTCGTCGTTGGTGATTATTCCACCTTGAACAGGCTAGCGAGAACATGTAAAAGTATAAAGCTAACATGAAACATGTGAAAAACATTACTCTTGCAGTGACAGAGCTGAGGAGTAAAAGAAAAGAAAGGCAGCGATTGTTGAAAAAAAAGAGGTCTGCTGGTTAAAAAGATGGCACAGAATACAACTTGAGAGAAGTGAGAAAGGGAGAGAAAGAGAGATAGTCTTTCTCTCCCGTCTCTGTGGTATGACAAGTTTATGCACGGCAGCTGTGTTTGTCAATCAAGGCCAGGGGTGTTTGTTGGACAATTTCTCAGGGAGGAAGGAGAGGGAAGAGAGAAAGGGGGGAAAAGCAAAAAAGCAAAAAGAGGGGAGAGAGCTGAGACACTGAGCAGTAACAGCAGGAAATGGGTTGATCCGGATAGGGTTAGATTGTGTTCTCTGTGTGGATTCAATGAGTCCACAGTCTTTAGGACTCGGAGAGGAACCAGGGAATTAGCTTAGCCTCTCGACTGCTAATGAGCCATGGATAGCATAAATAGCAGGAGTTTGTCTTTTGTTTTCTTTTTTATTGCTGGGCACACTTTTCTAAATCAAGTGCTAGTGATAGAAAGACCTGTCATTTCTGTCAACCTTCCTCTCGCCCCCCTCTCTCTTTTCTTTCTCTTACAACCTCAAAAACATCTTAATCTTACCCTCAAAATATATATCTAATATATTCTCTATATATTTTGTACTGAATTGTAGTTATAATGTACCATGCAATCTTTCAAGGACATTTAAAAGTCTCTTCTAAAGAACACAAATGTTGTGAAACTATTTACAGCAAATAACATTTCACCTGCATAGCTCTATTACTAAATATATTGTCAAAACATTTGTGATTTTTGTCGCCCAGCTACAACTACTAGGCCTTTGCCCAGTCACATAATCATTCTCAGTTTTGGCACCTTTCTCTCGGACTGAATTGCTAGGTTTTGAAAATATTGCCTCATACATTCAAGACTAAGGACAGTGTGTTTTTTTCTTTCCTTTTTTTCGTGTGTGAAATCAGCTTTGTGCAACAAGACAAATACAGGTATGAGCAAAGTTAGGCGCCCTAATGGAAGTTAAGGGTCCAACATGAAAGAGAGGTGTGTCTTATGAAGCAACAAAGACAGTATGCCTTTATGCCAAACAGAAAAGGCCATCTGTATTAAAGGGCAGCATTCCTTTAAGAACCAACTGCCGTCAACTCCATTTGGCAAGAGTGCATAACAACTGTGATCACTCAGACAGTGAAAAACAAGCTACTGTATGTTAGCTTCCTTTGGCAAAGTCCTAAGAATGTCATGCAAGCCACAAAAATAGACTTTAAGAATAAAAGACAGACTATCTGATTAACACAGCTATGCAGCATAATGATAAGACTTTCATGAAGACACTGTGTGTGTGTGTGTGTGTGTGTGTGTGTGTGTGTGTGTGTGTGTGTGTGTGTGTGTAGAGGTGGGCTGGGGTGTGTGGACTAACTAAATGTAGTGCATGAAAAACGTAATGTGAGATAGCTGAGGTGGTTAATACTGTGCTTTAGTACATCCTTTAAGGAGGTTGCATCTTCCTAAAAAGGTTGTGCAAGTGGCAGGTTTGATTTTGACAAAGGCTGACTAGATATGAACACAACAACAACTTTGCTATGCCTTCTCTCCCCCTATTTGCTCTCTATCAGTTGCAACCCCTCTCCTCCGAAAATATTATTTTCTGGCCAGCTTCTCTCTCACTTAGCTTACTTGTTTTAAATTATTCACTATTGCCTTTTTGCCCCTAAATGTTTCTTTGCCTTCTTGTGCAAAGAGGAAGTAGACCAGGCTCTTAGGCAGTTTAGGAATCAACATGCTGTAGGCCAAGTTCTGGAGAGGATTACTATAACAGTCCCTGAGAAGGTTGGGTGTACTTTTTTTCACACGTTTCTCTACAACACATCGACTTCTAGCACGGTGGGTAACCATTAGACTAGAGCATGCAGGTCATGACATGCATTACCTCTGAGGTGATTGGTGAACAGCATTCAAAATATTTTAGAAGGTCTGGGCTTCACCTCCCCAAAAATAGGAAACACACTCTAAAGTGATTATCGCTCTCGGACTTGCAGTACAACTGCTTTTGCACAAGACAGAGTGAGAACCATGGGAAATTATTATCATTTTAAAGTCTCAAATGGGTTGGTTTTACAGCTTCTCTGGGGAGATAAAAATGTAGAGATACAATGTTAGCATTTCCAAGCTAGCATCTTTAAGCTAAAAGAGAAAAAATGGTACCACTAACAGATGTGTTCATCATAACAGTGGAGAGAGTGAGTGAGAAAGTGGTAGTTTCACTCTTGAAGTGGCCTATCATAAAGCCACAGTATAGGTAATCACTTGTTTTTGTTCAGAAAGAGGGACACTGTGCTGTGCTTCTGGGGGTGGGTGTACAGATGTTTATCTCCATTAAATAACATTTATGTTATCCGAGGATCAGCAACCAGCTTCTTGTTAGTTACTGTTACAAAATTAGCTGAGAAATACAGAGCAGCAGAGAGGTACAATGACTTTGTGCCTTCAGCCATCTTTGCAAAACAACACAAACACCAGTCCCACAATCTAGTCTCTTCTTCCTGTGTCACTCTTACAAAAAAAAACACCTCAGAGGGCCTGTTAGCTATTCCTATTAGCCAGCTCACTCAGATCAGGCCCCTGTTGATCATCCACCCTATCAAACATAGGTCAAGAAGCCATTTAAGTACCTTTGTTTTACATAAGTCATCTTCCAGCAGATTAATGGGGTAGTTTAAGGGGTTGGAGTTGGATTGTCCTATCCATAGAGAGCAAGCAAGTACTGTGTGGTCCTGTCCATTTTCAGAAAGGCCATTGCCAGCCTATTTGGTCCAGTATCATGACCCCTGCTGCGGCTTCTCTAGCGACCCAACTTTTGCTTCCACACCTCCGTTTTTACACACAGGTGCACCCTGCGAGTTCTTGCAGCGGCAGCCGGGCCTGCTAACATTGTCGTAACACTTCTGTCCCAGTTTGGCCAGGCCCGTAGCTGGCAGATAGCAAACCAGGCAAGGCAGGACAACAGAAAGGGCAGCCATGAAGGACCAGCGTGCGCAGCAGTTGGCCTGGGAGCATGAGCAGGGCTTGTCAGCACAGGAGCCCTCGTCATCCTCATCCTCTGTGCAGTGGTAGAAGATCCCTTTGACCAGGCACATGCAGGTGGCTGTATCCACCAGGCTCTGAGCAGAGCACAGGCACTCCTGGTTGCAGACCCAGCAAGAGGGTAGGGTTCGGGGGAGCGTACACTCTGTGCATCGGCACTTCCCGCAGTGCTCGCAGAGGAGGAGGTGCTTCTTCTCAGCTGGGGAGGAAGGAATCACCGCCAACCCCTGCTGGCCTCCA